ATATATATATATATATATATATATATGTGAAATTTCAAAATTCAAATGATATACAAATATCAAAAAGAATCTTGAAAGTCTCACATTCAATTAGGTATGCATTATTTATGGTAAGGATAAAAGAGCTTTTATGATTTTTTTTTTGTTAGCATATATACTTTTATCCCAATTATTTTAAAAAATATACTTTTATCTTATTAAATTTTTTGGGAGGTACCGGCCTCCCTAAGGCCAAAACAAAAAAAAAAAAGCGTGGGCCTTAAATTCGTGGGTTAGACTCCTCTCCAATTGTAAGTTTGTTTATGTGACGTATTCATTTCAATTTTTCAGTGAAAATTATTTGTTTAAATAAAGTTTTATATTGACTCCAAAAAAAATGCTGTATTTTCTCTTGTTTTGAAAATGAAACTTGAAATTTCCTTAGAATGTGCCGTGATTTGTCACTCCAGCGATTGTATACATGTAATAAATTAAAGGGTAATTATCGTCCGCATCTCCTTGGGATAGGTATATCTTCAATTAGACTCCCTCTATTAGGTATATCTTCAATTAGACTCCCTCTATTATCCAAAGTATTACTGACATCCTTCAAATTTATATTTAAACATCACTCACACTCCCTGCCCCTAAACCACCATTTTGAACCAAAAAAACGAAAAAAAAATCATCTAAAATCCCAACATCAAAATTGCGCCTATATAAATCCCAAATAATATTTTTACATAAAATTTGATTAAAATTTCAGTTAATTAAAATTTATTTTTTTACATATTAAAATTTAAGTTGATTAAAATTTATTTCTTTATATATTAAAATTTGAGCCGATTAAAATTTGATTCAAGCTCACTAAACTTGAATTGAATTTTAATCGATTCAAATTTTGATGCATAAAAAAATATAAATTTTAATCAACTCAAATTTTAATACATAAAAACGAATTTTAATCAGTCTGAATCAAATTTTAATTGACCTGAATTTTAATGCGTAAAAAAATGCAAATTTTAATTGACTCGAATCAAAATTTCTATCGGCACTAACAACTCAGGTTGACCTCGAATCGATTCAAATTTTAATATGTAAAAAAAAAATTAATACGCTCAAATTTTAATACGTAACAAAAAATAATTTGTAATCAACTCGAATTTTAATACGTAAAAAAAATTTTAATTAACTTGAATTGAATTTTAATCGATTCAAATTTTAATACTTAAAAAAATTCAAAAAATAAAAAAGGTATCATTGAATATATGTTTATCTATAAGAGGTGTGGAAGAAATTTTTCTTATAATATATCATGGAGTAGTAAAATTGTATTATAGTTAACGTCATTAATGGGGGTGTCAGTGATGTTTCAAATAATATATGAAATGTCATTGAAGATATATTTATCTAAAGAAAGTATCAATCATAATTACCCTAAATTAAATGATTACCAAAAAGTTTAACGCATGATCTCCCTTGTATTTTATAATAGGGTTAAGCATTCGATCCCCAAAAGTAAATCAGTTGGACCCCCCCTATATTTGATGCTTTACTTTTTTTAACGAGTATTGTTATTTGTATTTAAATTAATTGAGTAATACTAGATGGATTTAAAAATTTTAATCATTGAATAGATAGTGGGTCTCAATAAATACTGGGACCCATAGTAAAATTAATGGTTGAGATTATCAAGTCTAGTTTTTAAGTTTATTTTTTAAATTTATGTAGCATTGCTCAAATTAATTTGTTGATTGGTGATGTGATAGTGGTATAGATCAACATTTCCTTTGTAATTGTTGCCGGTGAAATTTTTATTTTTTTTAAATTTTTTTATCACTTGAAAAAATCATTCGATCAACAATTAAATAAAAATTTTTAAGTCTCCCTAACTTTACTCTTGTCTAATTGAAGGAAAAAAATATTTGGTGCAACTATTACATTAAGTCAATAGTATCACGTGATAAAATCGTCCATTAATAAGTAAATAAGTATGCAAGTGAGCCCCATAAAAATTTATAATCACTCAGCCATATAATACATAACCACCTCCATAATAAAAAAG